AGTTTTGTCATTCTATCAAACCCAATAATGCCTCTCAGGCTCAGCCATTCCAGCCACTGGGACTGGCGCTATGCCTCAAAGTCTTATAATTCCAATAACAACTTTCTTCGTTTGTTTGCCCAGCCGAGATTTGAATATGGGTCCCGCCCTAGCTGTTTCTCAGCGTCGACCACTTCATTTTTCAGCTCTCTCTCCCGGCGGTTCCTGTTACTAGCTTTAATCTGCGAAAATATATTCAGATTGTTAGAGATGATGGCGAGGTCGGTGTCTGCCCATTCTTCTTCCGATTGAAACAGGGGTTTAGCTTTATCCCAGTCTCGCATGTGTCTTATCACTCAAGACTTGATACCTTCGTGTTTAAGATTGCTGGTATTTAAACGAAAGGAGCCCCTCGTCTTGATGATATGCTCTCCGGACAGTATTTCCATAGTAACCGGGTAGTGGTCAGCTAGGTAGGATATCTGGAGATCTGACCAGATACACCTATGCCAAGGAGCCCCCCTGGCTAGGAGGAAGTCCAGCCTCCTCTCGGATGCCAGTGTAGTGAAACAGGTAAATCCATTGTCCTCAGGATTCATTAGTCTATAAACGTTTGTCAAATTTTGGGACTCCACGAATTCCTACAGGAGTTTCAAATCCTCCCTGAGAGGGTCCAGCCAGGGGGTGTCCAAACCGGGGGTCAGAATTGTGTTCCAATCAGCAGCCAATACCAGGTGTTCGGTGCCCGGAACATCATAGGAGGGTAGGTTCGCGAAGAAGGACGTCCTCTCTCTGTTGTCTACTGGAGCATATATGGACATTACTGCTCAATCTTTCGAGCCTACTGAAAATTTTACCCACACGCAGTGACCGGACAGATCAGTAAACGAATCAATGATCTCTATTTCGAGGTCTTTATGGAATAGTATCGTTGTACCCCTTTTTGTACCCTCCGCCGGAGCCCAGTACTATGGGCCTTGCCACCAATTCCTAGCTTCTGGAATTTTTGCAGCATTTAACTTTGTTTCTTGAATACACAGAATGTGTACATCGTTCGTGTGGCACCACGATTTTACCCGGCTACGCTTCTGACGCCTAGTTGTGTCGCCCAATCCTTGGAGATTCCATGTTGCAATTCTAATTTTGGCGGGCAGTACCATGGGACAAGTCCCTTGGACCGCCCTGCTATTGGATTGGACGTGACGATGCGGACTCCGGTATCTTGGCTCGAGGCAGGTCCCGTGCTCCTGCCTGAGATAGATGTCATGGGTGCTGCAGTGCCTCTGAGGACTTTAACGAGTAAACGACTTCTTTCATGTCAGCGTAGGCCAGCCAATTCACCAGATATTGGCCCGAGGCCCTATCTGCTAAACGAATTTGAGAGGGGATTTCGCTGCCAGGGTTGACGAGATGTTCCCACAACACCCAGTGCGATAAGATGGACTTCAGTTTCTCTTGTGTATCATCCTCAAAATGCAGATTAAGAAAGGAAAAATATAGAGCAACTTTCCTGTCCCCCTCACCATTAATTAAGTGGCGTCCCATACGCGGCTCCGGGATATAGCCAACCGGACAACTATCATTAATTATTCGTCTGCCGGCCTCGACGACCTGCATTTCTGTAGGTGGTCCAGAAACAGCAAAGATTGGGAGATCGAGTCCTGTGTCTTGGGAGCGTTTCGTCAGCAGCAGGGGACCTTGATTTGATGAAGTACAAATCAGCGGAACCAGAAAGTTCTCTAATTTCGCTTTTTCATTTTTGGCTAACGTTGTCATCGGGAGCGATCCGGCTAGAGCCAATCGGGTATCATAACTTTTGGATTTGTTCCTCTGTCCTTTGGTTCCCACTGAATCCGGTGAGTACGGGCCATGACGGGGGGGGTCATTCTTTTATTTCCTTGCTGGAACGGTCAATCGTGACTTCTCTCGTGAGAGTCTCGTCTGTAAGGAACCAACCGGGACGATGAGGAGTGGATCTGTCATCTCGTTCTCTATCGGCTCAGTCCTACCGTCTGTCAGCGGACAAATTTCGCCTGGTCTGGGTAAGGTTGCTTCCAAGTCAACCTCCTCTGTGAGTTGACCATTTCGGTCCACTGCCATTGTTGGTGGCAGTAGCAAGGATTTGTCATCGAGCGGCGTCGCATCAAAATTATATATGGCGTTATTATACTTAGTGACAAAACCTTCGGGACGTCCTGCTGCCACGGTAGGGGAGGCCTCAGTGGACGAAGAGGGAGCATTAAGATCATCAATAATTAGAGGGGTAATTCGAGGTGGGAAGGCGTGACAGAATGGTGGAGGAGACCTCTCTCTTTCCCTCTCTTTCCTTTCCTCCTCATCCTCCCTCCCCCTTTCCTTTTCTCTCTCTCGTTCCCATTCCCTTTGTCACTCTTTGTGGTTCCTTTGCTTTCACTCTCTCCCTCTCTCTTTCCCTCTCAGCCGCTCCCTTTCCCTTTCCTTTTGTTCCTCGAATTCTTTCAGTCTGGTCAATTCCTTTTCCTGCTCTCTTTCAGCTTCTCTCCTTCTTTCCAATTCCATCTCCTTTTCTTTCTCTTCTTGTCGCTCTTGATTAATCTCCATCTGTCTCACTCTCTCTTTCCTCTTCTCTCTTCCGTTTTTCCTCCAGCTCTTTCTCCCTTTGCAACTGTTTCTGTCGAGCCCAAATTTCAAAGTCGTCAGGGACGTTCTCCGCGTTCTCGTCTGCCGGTGATTTTTGTCTTCTTCTTTTACCAAGGCAGTCCGGGTCATCATCAGAGTGGAAGTACTGTTTGCATACTGAGCACCACTCTGTAGTTGGGCATGCCACTTCGATGGTGACCAGGGTTTCCCTACCATCGGGAATCCCGATGACCAGGTAAGGAGTGTATCTATCCGCTGCCGCGAATTCCAAATCGAAACGAATGTTATGAAGCTCCGGTTCCATTGGTCGAGAGGTCATTGAGTGTGTTTTAATCACCCTCCCGAAGGCTTTTTCCACCGCCTCTTTGATTACTGTCAAAGCTGCCAGGGGAACGTGGAGGCAGCGAACCCAGAAGAAGGCAAACTTATTCGTTTCCCTCCACACTTGCAGTTCTCGTTCAGTCATCCAAGCCCTGGTATGCAACCTGTGGAGTTTCCCGTCAAGTTCGACTTCGTCAAATCGCTTTAACAGTAAATACTCTGCGACCTCCTTTGTGCTCATGATATAGGAAATTAGGTTCCGGCCTTCATTCTTGAAGAGCCCGCGGCGTGGAACTGGAACCAACATCGAGCTACCAATCCAATTGTTTTCATAAGCTCTTCTTCAGTCCTACCGAGAAGGAATCGGATTCCTCACCAAACATTATTGTGACCCCGTGTTCGCCCAGCCATTGTGTTTGTGCAGCATAGGCTACGGGCGAAATATTTACCCTAACTGTCGCCTAACATAGTCGTCGCCCCTTTCAATCTGATCGGGGTGGTCGCTAATTAAACCTTTTGGTAAGATTCCTCCATGGTAGCAGTCTTGCATGGTTTGCCAGAGACGGGCCTTATCTGGGGAGGTAGGGGGAAGGGGGATACGCCCCCCTCCATTTTCCATTTTCATTTCCGTCAGTCCTGTAAATAAAGTATTGTTATATACCAGAAGCTTCGATAATAATGGAATACCACCACACACCCCCCTGGTCAGCAGTGATACGAGGAAGGGTCGGGGAATCGGTGTGAAATTTACCAAAATGTCTCCCGTCTCGATCTCTGTCGCATCGCTTTTCCACCAGTCGATGGCCGCCCTTCTAAATCCATGGGTGCTTCACCTCTCCTAGCGGCTCTCGTGGTCTGTCAGAGGTCACACGTCCTGAGTAGCAGCCTTTCCTCCGGTAGAACGCTGATGGTTATAGAACAAGGTGGGGTACATCGCCTTCCGCTTTCGCCACATCTCCTTCCTTCTTGACGTTGGCGTCACAGTCATTTCGTGCTTCCACGGCTCGAGCAGTTGGCAAAATCAAGGCCCCCTTGCCAGAGAAATAGTCATCTCGTGGTGTAAAAAGGTAAGTAATCATTGTAGCATATTCAAGTACACTCCAGGGATCCACTAGGGATCATACTCCGAACGCACAGGCGCTCCTAGCCCCCTCGAGGGATAGTTGAGTATCATCACGCAGCCGCATAGCTCAGCTATGCCGCCCACTAATCGAGGCATGCTTCGTTCCTCAACACGTTATGCGGACCCGAAGCACACTCTTCCCTGCAGGCGCCGGCCGGCCCGGGTTTGGTAGGTTAGCGCTAATCCGCATGCGGAAAATTAGCACTAACTTAGCGCACCCAGGGCGCTACCAGTTCGCATGCCGGTCCCCCCTGATATGCGTTTCAGCACCTACAGCAATAGCAACCTTCAAGCCTCCCTCCGCACGCCGAAATAAGAGTGTTACCTCGATAAGACACCTCCCTCCGCACGCCGAAATAAGATTGCTACCCCGAAAAGAAACGCCTGGCCATCCCCTATAGATTCATTGGAGGCTTGAACACGGCTGTAGATGCTACTGGGTTCCCCCGCCAGCCAGCTCCCGCATGTTCCCTCATTGGAGGCTTGAGAGCGGATGCAGCTGCTACTGTGTTGCCCTCAATACTATAATTATACTATAATAACGAACAACTACCCGAACATAACGCACCCTAACAATGAATGTATACAATCGATATTTCCGGCCAGATACAGCCAAAATAAGGGTGCGTTGTGTTCGGCGCACGACGGCTGCGTGCCCGCGGTGCGGCAACTGAAGCTACGTAGCGGATGGCAACTGAAAAAATAAGAGTGTTACCCCGAATTCGAGATGCAATTCCAACACGATGAACTGTTGAAATGCAGACGAGCCACAATGAAATGAACTCTGATGATGAGTAACTAGCTCTGTATTTCATGCGAACGTGGACGGGTTTTCAGTTTTGAGGAGGGTGAGGTCTGGAAGAAGCGAGCAGGCGAGCGGGGGGAGACTACACTACCTCACACAGTCGCGTGTACGCAGACGGGCAAACGGGGACGGGTAGTTTCGAGAATTTACTGTGGTAATTTTCAGCAGTTCAGCTACAGTAGATAGACACTCGGGCCGCGCACCATCGCTCAACGGTATCGTTGCCAAAGTGGTGAGTCGTCATCCTTCATTCGCTTTTTTTTTTTTTTTTTTTTTTTTTTTGAAGTCGTTATCCATCATTCAAATTCACCACAAAGCACACACGAAGAAATGAAAAACGAGTGCCATTGCCCCCGAAAAAAAAATCAGAAACGAGTGCATGTACCCACAGCATGTCCTCCATCGTTCAAAGATTCATCAAGTTTCTATAAATAGCAGCAAATGTATCTTGTGGCCTTCTGTGGGCATCGATGGACTTTCTTCTTTTCCCCAGGGGAGACTGGATCGCAGAAGAAAGCTCACGAAGCGGATGCATTTTCCCGCAGCGACTACAAAGATTCATCAGGTTTCTATCAATAGCAACGAATGTATCTGGCCGCCGTCTGTGGGCCGATGCACTCGTTCATTTTTCCGCTTCGTATGCCGTGTGGCGTGTCCCACTGCCGAGGCGAAACGTCTTGAAGATAGATAGATAGATACTAGATAGATAGATAGATACTTGATAGATAGATAGATAGATAGATAGATAGATAGAGAGAGAGAGAGAGTACACATACATACACAAAACCTCCTGATCAGTCTGTGAAAGTCCATTGAAACGGTCTGGCTTTCACACGCACACACACACACACACACACACACACACACACACACACACACACACAC